GGGTCTGCGCACTAACCCAGTACCCTTTTCCGTCGCCCAGGGGGCGCGCGGGCACCAGCGCTGCCCTGAACTCGCCTACCCGGTTAGCCCCCTGCCGGGTTCTCCACCTTCCACCGCTCGTCTTCGTGACCCTGGCTTACGAAAGGCTTTTCCGGAAAAGAAAGCTGTTCCCTGCCCCTCCCTGCAGATTTTACTTCCTGGGTTTGAAGCTGAGTTTCATTTGCCTGGCACCTGGTACCAGCAGCCCAAGGGGAAGAGGGAGGTGTGGGAAAAACAAGTATAGACGAATAGGATGTGCTTCCTGCCTTCAGAAATTCAGGTAGTGAAATATAAGAACCTTGGCTTCAAGTGTAGATTTGAGAGGCCAGAGTACTGGTGCCAGTGGGCTAACAGTACAGGCTGGATCGTCTTAGGCCTTCCCACCACACTGGCCTCTTTCTACAAGACCGTACCCACTCTCATCACCCGTGAGGCTGCCCTGCTTTCCCCTATCACTGTGCACTGTTTGACCACATGGCCCTCTCCTCCTGCAGCTGGGAACAACTGGAAGGTTGGGAATATCTCTTAGGCCCTTTTTTTTTTTTTAATATATCTTTATTGATTTCATAGAGAGGAAGGGAGAGGGAGAGAGAGATAGAAACCTCAGTGATGAGTCATTGATTGGCTGCAGCCCGCAACCCCGACCAGTNAAGGGAGAGGGAGAGAGAGATAGAAACCTCAGTGATGAGTCATTGATTGGCTGCAGCCCACAACCCCGACCAGTAATCGAACCCCGATCTCCTGGATCCTAGGTTGACACTCAACCGCTGAGCCATGCCGGGCCGGACTCTCAGGCCTTTTCTAAGCATAGCATACACTTGGCTGAAACGGTAAGGGGGACAGTCCCTGGCAGAGGTGAGACTTGCATAGAGCTAGGCAGATCCTGTCTGGGGTTTGAATAGGTGGGGTGTTCCAGGCAAGGGCTAGGACCTGACAGTGAACCAGGCTGGCAGGGAGGTGACCCTATGTGCCACCTGGAGAGGCTGCCCCTTATGGCTCAGGTGGCACTTGCATGTGGCCCCTGCATGTGGCCCCCAGACTTGTTTGGCTTCCCCCAGACTTGTTTACACCTTCCAGTAAAGAGAATAAAACACACCAGTGTGGCTCAGTTGGTTGAGCATCCTCTCATGCACCAGGAGGTCACCGGTTCTATTCCCCATCAGGGTACATGCCTGGGCTGTGGGCTCAATCTCCAGTAGGGAGAGTGCAGGAGGCAGCCCATCAATGTTTCTCTCATCGATGTTTCTCTCTCTCTCTCCCTCTTTCTCTCTCTGAAATCAATNCTGTGCACTGTTTGACCACATGGCCCTCTCCTCCTGCAGCTGGGAACAACTGGAAGGTTGGGAATATCTCTTAGGCCTTTTTTTTTTTTTAATATATCTTTATTGATTTCATAGAGAGGAAGGGAGAGGGAGAGAGAGATAGAAACCTCAGTGATGAGTCATTGATTGGCTGCAGCCCACAACCCCGACCAGTAATCGAACCCCGATCTCCTGGATCCTAGGTTGACACTCAACCGCTGAGCCATGCCGGGCCGGACTCTCAGGCCTTTTCTAAGCATAGCATACACTTGGCTGAAACGGTAAGGGGGACAGTCCCTGGCAGAGGTGAGACTTGCATAGAGCTAGGCAGATCCTGTCTGGGGTTTGAATAGGTGGGGTGTTCCAGGCAAGGGCTAGGACCTGACAGTGAACCAGGCTGGCAGGGAGGTGACCCTATGTGCCACCTGGAGAGGCTGCCCCTTATGGCTCAGGTGGCACTTGCATGTGGCCCCTGCATGTGGCCCCCAGACTTGTTTGGCTTCCCCCAGACTTGTTTACACCTTCCAGTAAAGAGAATAAAACACACCAGTGTGGCTCAGTTGGTTGAGCATCCTCTCATGCACCAGGAGGTCACCGGTTCTATTCCCCATCAGGGTACATGCCTGGGCTGTGGGCTCAATCTCCAGTAGGGAGAGTGCAGGAGGCAGCCCATCAATGTTTCTCTCATCGATGTTTCTCTCTCTCTCTCCCTCTTTCTCTCTCTGAAATCAATAAATACATATTTTAAAAATAAAATACAAAAAAGTGAGATGGTTGATTTATTTCACAACTCTCAGCCTCTCTCCCAAAGGTAGGGTCTATTGATAAAAATCTGAGTGTCTGGGACTTGAGTAGAACCCAGGAAATGTAAGCCAAAGTACCCATGTCAGAGGCCCAAGCTCAGACTTCAGCAGCAGATCAGGGTCAGACCTTGCCAAGGTCAAAACTCAAGGTTCATGTACATCCTCAGATTCCGCTCCCAGGCCTTGTCCTTCTCCTTCTGCCTTCTCTCCTCCCTCCTGCTCAGTGTGGTTGCCTGAGGGACTCTCTCTCTCCCCGCTACTGCCCGGGTATCCTGAGCCAGGAAGTGTGTGACTCGGGGTTGGGGCCCTGATCTGTACCCTAATCCTTCCTGATCTCTCTTGAGGACAGTGGGGATGGGGTTGACACGGCCCCTTCCTTGGGGTCCCAGCCCCATTCCAGGCTCCCAGCCCCCTCTAAGCAGCAGCTTGAAGCCTGGGCTGGAGGTGGGCATCCCAAAGTGCAGATTGGGAGTCCGGAGATCCTGGGACAGTGACAGCAGGTGAGCAGTAGATGTGCGGTGGTTAGAGTCTTGGAAGTAGGCATCACAGGTCTCACAGTACTGGGTGGAGGGGGATTGGGACCTGCAGAGGAAGAAGAGAAAGGATTGAGGGCAGGGAAGGGTTGGGGAGGGCAAGGATAGAAAGAGTCTTTCCAGTCTAAGGAACAAGTTGCCTTCCTCCCCACTTAGCAATGGAGGACCAAAGGGGAATAGCTGGAAGAAGAGATGGTAACCTGGCCTCACAAGGCTCTTGTGCGAAGGAGAAATACAGTGGCTGTAACTAATATTTATATAGTGCTTACTATGTAGAAAGCAGTTCTAGCACTTGACATATACTAACCCATTTAATCCTAACCCTATGAGAAAGGTGCTCTTATTGCCATTTCTCAGGTAAGGAAACTGAGGCACATAGACATTAGGTTGCTTGCCCAAGTAGTATTAGCATTTAAACCCACAGAGCTCATGTTCATAGCCGTTCTAGTACACTGCCTTATCTATCTATACTGGGAGATGGGGAAGAGAACCCTTCAGCTCTTTGCTGGTATGGAGTGGCTAGGGAGAGTAGAACACACTGAAAGATAGGCATGAGCAAACGTTTCCCCTCACCTGTTCTCTGGACTCGTCTCTCCGTGGCTCTCTCTGACTATGCGGGCCACCTCAGGGAAGCCTGCTTCTTCGGCCAGCTGAGCAGCATCCCTGCCACCCAGCTCGCAGACCCCGACCCAGGCAGCCCCCCGGCCCAGGAGATAGCGCACAGCGGCCCCCTGGCCTGCTCGGGCAGCACACATCAGGGGGGTCCACCAGAAGGCATCCCGAGCATTGATATTTCCTCCAGCTCCCCCGGCCTCATGGGGATCCAACAGCCTTTTTAGTTCTGCCAAGTCTCCCTCCTGGGCTGCCCTCAGTATCCAATGAGTCATCTTGTCCTCAGCCTCAAGGGATCTCCTTTGTCCACGTCCCCTTGATGCTCCTGCTGCAGCCTTTCTCATCATTCTTCTCTTCTTCCTCTTTCTCTCACTGGCAGGCTCAGGTTGCAATCTCTGAGGTTCAGGGGTGCTGCCCTCATCTCCAATCAAGGCCTCATAGAAAGCCCTGGCTGCAGCCCCATCCAGAGTAGGCTCCAGCTCTTCAGCCTGTGACTGTTGTTGCCCATCTTTCCAGAGGTCGCTGGGGTCAGTGGCTGGGGTGAAGGTGATGAGGGAGGGCCTGGACATGGTTTTGGGAGAGCTGTGAAAATGAGACCGGCAAGGGGAAGAGGAGACCAGCAAGCCAACTCCTGGGTGGTTCTGGTTACTCCAGAGACCTGCTGGGATGAGGGAAAGTAACCTTAGAGTCAAAAAACCTCTCCCACCCCCAGGGTGACACCACAATCTAAATTCCTACAGGGTCTAAGGGCAATAGATCACGTGGAAAAACAGGGAACCCTATAATAACAGACCATGCCCATTAGTAAAGACAAACAGCTCTGCCAGGTGTGGGTCAGTGGTTGAGCATTGGCCTAGGATCCAGGAGATCATGGTTCCATTCCCAGTCAGGGTACATGCTGGGTTGCGGGTACGATCTCCAGTCCGGGGCGTGCAGGAGGCAGCCAATCAATGACTCTCTCATCATTGATGTTTCTATCTCTTTCTCTCTCCCTTTTCCTTCCTCTCTCTGAAATCAGTAAAGATATATTTTTTAAAAAATACAAAACTTTATGAAGCAGTTGCCCAGAGGTCTTGATTTCCACCCCCACTCTCGGCCTCATCAACAATAAATAGTAACAGCCTCTTTCTGATACTACCTTATCACTTTGTAATACGTACAATTAAGAAAAGCAACCAGCCTGGCCCTTTAAATCTTCCTCGATCGGATTTCGGGTGTCATCCTCTCAAGCAAAAAACTTGACAGGAAGCAGATTTGTGGAAGGCTGCAGTCTGTGATGATGCCTTGTAGCTTCGGTACTGCAAAATGGCGCTGCTCTACGCAAAGGAGTTCAGGTAATCAAATAACCAGGCTATTCAAAGACGCATGCGTGGCTGGGAAAAAACACACAAGGATTACTTAAGGGCGCAGGCGTGCAGAAGGCACCTGGTTGTTTCCCGCCCTGGAACCTTTCCAACAGTATTCTCGCAAAGCGCCACGTGCCTAGGTAGCTCGAGGACAGAGGAGGATCTGTCAGTTGGGGTCCAGCTTTTACATAACGCCCCACAATGCCCCTCGCCTCCCTCAACGTGGCCCCCGGCTCTGAGCTCATTTTCTGGAGCTGGGAAACCACTCTCTGGGTTAAGAAAGGCCCTAGGGAGGCAGAGGGAAACCTAGGGAGTGCCCAGAGCTGTGAAATGAAATAACGTCACGTTGCCCCTCACCACTACTCCAACCAGGGTTTGAAGGTCGCACTCAGCGCCCGCAGAAGGCCCCATTCAAGCCCTAAGAGGAAATGGAGAAGTGCAAAGGGACGAGCAGCAGAATGGCTGGCACCACCTCAGGTTAGCGCACTGGGTCGCCCCCTTCTCACACCGCCCAGCTCAGCGCGGCACCTCCCCGCCCAGGCCCCTCAGCACGAAGCCGGCCCCCAGGGTGAAACATGGGCCCCGTCGGAGGTTTCCAGTGCGCGCCTGGCTCGGGAAAGGGGTTGGCCAAGCGATAGGAGCCGGCGGATTGGCTGGGGATGAGGTTAGTCCCCTAGGCAGGCGCTCGCCGGGGCCGGGGGCTCGCTGTGAGAGGAGCGGCAGGAAGCAACCCAGCCAGCCTCGTCCCTTACCCCACCTCCTCTCGGGCCCCAGATCCCCGGATAGCACAACAATACTTCCCAGACTCCCCCGCCCAGGACGCAGTACTGAGCTTCCGCTTCCGGTGGCGCCTTGCTGCGGCCCGCCCCGAGCGTTTTCCTCAGGAGCCTCGCGACACCACGGTCGGGCGCGAGGCACCCTGGGATTCGTAGTTCGCCTTCCCCTGGTTTCGCCAGTTTCTCCCCATCGGGAACTCCATCTCCCGGCGTCCACCGCGGCTCCCGACCCTTGGCGCTTGCGCGTTGCCCTCTTC